AAAATATTTGGTATTAGCCACAGGGAATTAAAATATTCTACCTGATTATGCCTGAGTTTTATTTTTCCACAGGCTAATACTCAAGGAGGATTAACCTTCAGGTTTCTTGACCATTACCCTTCATCAAAAGTCCCTGTGTTGAGATGAATCCACATACTCTTTTACCGCATTATGAAACTTTCAATAACATTCACAATACATTCTTCCTTATAATTGTTCAACTTTTAAATATTTTTGAATACCCAAGAACCACTCTCATTGACAACTGTTTTTTTAAGTCTCTTTAAACTGGGGTTAATTATTCAAATGGCTTTGCCATAGTTGTTATTAAATTTAGAGAATAATCCATCAACTACTGGGTACTAAACTGAAGACATTGATCAGTGTGTATATCTGTCATGTGAAAGCTGATATTCTTCACTGTTTAGGGCATCCAAAAAGCATGTGCATTCATTTGGTGAATAGTTTTTTATTTCGGTCTTTCCAGTAATTAATGAGTAGCTTTAAACAGCATTGAAACAAAGCTTGACACATATAACAAAGACTAAAGTGTACATCAAATTAAAATTAAATTTATAAATATAGCAGCAAAGCACCAAAACATTCTACACTTAAAATATAATTAATATTGTCTATCCTATGGATAACCTACTACTAATTTGGACTACTGGACTATATTGGATTATTTTGCTGAATTCACACACCTACAATATTTAAATTGCAATGGAATACCCATCTCTGACAAAACTAAACAAAAATGGGGATATAAATGAAGGACCATTTTGCATGTGTATATACAAAATAGCATAGATACACAGCTACTTTCTCTTAATTTAATGAGAAGAGAGATTTGTACTAATAGTGTTTGGACAGGATGTCATGTCTGCATCTTATACTATGAATAACCACTACGAAGACAACAATATGCAATGTATTAATGATTGAAACTGTTCTACTAATCGGTTTTGAAACTGTCTCATTGTTATTTGTTTGTCAATAAAATTAATGAAAAAATAATTTTAAAAAATAGTTGACAAACACACAATATAGAACAGTGGTTTTCTATTCCATAGCCACATTATCTAAATGAAGAAAAAACTGTGAGAAGTATCTCATGATATGGCAGTCAAAAGTCCTCATTTTATTCTTTGCTTTTATAACATGCACTGAATACCACCAAAAAGAAAAATTATGTATATTTAATTTAATATGTACATAATTCAAGCTACAAGTATCTCCTATTTTAGAAGTTATAAAGAAAATAACTTTATCAAAGTTATTTGATAAATTAAATATGCCCTGTTTATCATAATCAAAATTTCTATACCAAAGCACCAATAGAATACATTAAGGATGAGACGGAGATGATTACTGTAATGGCAGAAAGAAATATGAGAACAAAATTCTCCCAAGCCAGTAAAAATTCTCCTTTTCTTTTTTTTTTTTTTTTTGTCTTTTTGTCTTTTTGAGACAGGATCTCACTATGCAGTTCAGACGGGCCTTGAACTCACTTTGTGACCAAGCTGGCCTCAAATTCTCAGTGATCTCCTGCCAAGTCTCCTGAGTGCTGTGATTATAGGCATGCACCATGATGCCTGGCAAATTCTTCAACCTATCATCACTCTAAGCAATTCTGACCAAGGGTAAATGTTGGGTTTGGTTCAAAGCTATTGCAATTCACTAAGTTACATAGTCACTGAACTTTCTATTCCTTTTCTCCAAAATGTAAATTTAGAAAGCTATTATGATCTCACAAGAAAGAAGAAAGAAAGAGAGAGAAGAGACAGAGACAGAGATAAACCATCTTGTGACATATACTACTATATCACAGCATGTCAAAGACATGCATAAACAATTCTGAACAGGCAGTATCACTTTCTATCAACTGAGAGCTTTGAAATTCCATTCTTGCTAAATAGTTCCCATCAAGTGAAATAGTACTGAAGTCTGAAATTTCACATCTGGACCTACCACAGATGAATTTAATCTTTTAAAAATATGCATGAGTTTTCTATTTTAGATTTCACAGAACATTTATCCCCCTTTTGACATTTACCTTTACACATTCTGTCTCCACCACACTAGCTCCCCATTTTGCTATTGCCCTATGCGCAGCTGCCCAAACAAATCTACTTTCACCTACAGAACTTACTCCTTCTCCTGTTACTTGATGTTTACATTTATCTCCTCATGCCTCCTAGCTGCCATGTATCAGTGAGAAGATACATTTCTCCTTGGTTAAGCACATTCTCTTTGAATGCAAACAGCTTGCTTTGGATTCAAACTCTGGGGCTTACTAGTTGTATAAAAATATTGTTTAAACTCTTTGAACATTCACTTCCTTTTCTGAAAAATAAAGATAATAATAAGACTATTGTGAAGAAAAAATAAGATAGCACCTAACATACTTTTAAGTTTTCCTGGCTATCATTTAGGGATACTTTCGAAAAATTGTTATGAAGGCCAACATACAGTATTTGCTTTCACTACAAGTGATACTTCTCTGTACTGGGACTGATTTAAGTGCAATCTTGAAAACATGTTTTTGATTTTATAAATTTGATTATTATGTACTGGAAGGCTTGGGTTACAAATAAATTGACATTGTCTTGTCAATTATCACACATCCACACCCTCCTCAGCCCAATAAAACATGTAGTACTGGTTATTTTTATGACATCCAACCCTAAAAGTCAAAAGCAATCAAATATTACACCAACCCAAAGCCATTTTTAGACAAATAACGTGTGTTACTTACAGAAATATCTTCCCTTTCTTCCCTTGTGCAATCATTGGATTCCATCAGATATCTTCCCGCAAATTTCTAAGTCATTGTTCACACCAATGTTGGCACAACTTGAAGGTAGAATTTTAATATTGCAAACTAAAATGTCTCTTTCTGAATTAAATAATCACTACCCTATTTATATTATAAAGGAGATCTCTCTAAGGTGTGCTTTTTACTGGTTTAGCATTAAAAAGTATTGTAAAATTATAATAAGGCAAGCATTTATCTTGGTAATAAGCAAAAGAATGCTAACAATGCATTCACATTAACTGTAGTAATTTAAAGAGTGGACAAATCTTTAACCATGAGAAAAAATTTTAAACTAACACAAATAAACACCTTTTTACAATTTTTAACAATGAAGTCCAATGAAGAAATTAATAAAGTCTCCATCATTTTTAAGACTCTTAGAAATAGTAAGAGGGGTAATAAAAGAGAAAAAGCAAATAAATAGAATTGAAACTTTAGGGCTCCCAAGGAAAAGCTAACCACCTTGTTTGTGAAATTTAATTGGAATATAATTACAGGCATTGAGCTAGTCTTTGAAGCATTACAAGTGCTGTGTTAGACTGAGATTCTGAGCAACTCAAATTTTACTTTGAAATATCAGAA